CTTACCGTTCGCAGTGGTATGGCCACCGGGCCACTCGGTTCTATCATTAATATTAGTAACGATAAACGTTTTATCTGTCACTATTAGTAATAGACAAGCTAACACCGAATAACGTTTGACTCTGTTTCGGTTACATAAAATATGTAGTTTAGCTATACTTTGGACTACGTTGTAAGGTAGAACATAGCGAATTTGACATAGAACACACCCCCAATAAAATATCACTAATAATGTCGGAGAGCCATAATCACTTCTTGACCTTATTTTAAGTTCATCGATTTAGTAATCTATCCCAAATTAGATAGATATTGGCGTTACTATACCTACATTACGAAACATAAACAAAAAAACATGAGAACATTCCACGGGATTTCATCTTTATTATCTTTTGCTAACCCGTATAAAAATACGATGGGGCAATTTACCATTACAAGTCATCGTGAAACAAAAAAAACACTCAACAAGGTCATCTATAATTTTATACTGCCTAGGCCTAAAAGATAAGATACGTCCTTATTCTATGAGCTCATTTGATTTAATTTGGCCTTGATTCTAGTCACAACGCATAAATGTAAAGAGTCAAATGACCAAGTTTTAAAAACAATGGGTCAGTTTTAAAAGGACACGCCAAATCTTGAAAGTTGCATGATAACTGTAAAAAAACGTATCTAAATATAGATTTGTCGCGAACCAGCATAAGTAGATTATCAAAGAAAACCACACCTCTTCCTCTATTCCCTTATCATTACAGAAACAAATAACATAGAGTTTCAATTAATACCCGTGTTCTCTACATTAACAGCTCCAACTTCTGGAATGAAGATCCACAGATCAACCATAGAATCACCATCAAAGCCATAGATTAGTACCCCGGGTATGCCATAATAACAGGCGCTGTCCATATAGGGGGTCCCGTTGGCCACGTAATGATAGGGATCGGTAGCGATCAGTAAGAAACCCCGGCAAAAACTTGTATGGGAGAGGATAAGCCAAGTTTGGGACATGAATGAGATCGTTTGGTTGGAATAAGGACAGCATCATAATAAAACTTGACGTTACCGGCTCTAAATGTCTCTGTAAAATTAAGGATGGATTAAAACAATAACAAGGGAGTTTGACATTAACTGTACATCTATTATCACGGTAACACGAATATATTATGTGAAACCTCTGTGCCTCTTTAAACTAATACAGGATGTACGGAGATTGTCATTTTAAAATCAGTAACTCAGTAACCTTGAACATTTTACGCAGCGCCATCTAAATCCAAATTAAACTAAACGATGATCCTAGATTTAGCAATTATGAGTAATAGTTTGAAACGATTGCCTTCAAACCTCCGCACAACCTTGCAACGGTGGAATACAAATATCCTAGAAACGCGATACCAGTTTGACAAAAAGAGTTCTTTGTAACGTAATCTTAAATTAATATCTAATCAAGAACTTGGCGGAAGCACTACCATGTCCCAGATCAGATAGTAAAGTTAGATTTACATAAGCGAGTGCGTGTTAAGGCTGACATGATTAGAACTCAGTAACTGTAATCTTCGGTTACAAGTGCCGATCAATTCCGTTAAATTAGATCGCCCTAATATGGCTTTGCATTGAAGGGATGATGACGTGATGATTCGATTTAGATAACCATTGATCTAAAGATTCAATTTACACCTCAGTAGCCCGGACAAGAACTTACTGAATACCGATCTATCTAAGGAAATATTTCATTATTGGCGTGTTATTAAATAGATTGCACATTCTTGAAATCACCGCAAGAATCTCGGCTTTTGACTATTTAATGATGAGAACTTATTCCTTCTTAAATCTAAACAATTCAGGAAATATTTAGCATTGTTTAATTCAACTCAGTCTAATTTAGTTAATTTAGAATCTGGAAATCCTATTTGAGGAAAAAACTAAGGACTTTATAAAGGGGAAATCTTGCCTTGAAATATCTCGTAGATAGGAAATCCCGAATACTTTTAGCCAGGTTTTTATAGTAACATTATAAATGGGATTTTCCTATTTGTAATGTAGAACTTGCTTCTTATCGGAATGAAGAAATATACTTACAAACTTATGTATTTTATTATTCGATAATAATGAGATTTAAGTACTTTACCGATAAACTTTGCTTCACTTTGGTGTTCCAGATGCTTACCTGAAAAAGAAAACATCACTATTAATCAAGTACAAATATTCAGGTCACCGATTATTTTCCTATTAAATCCATCATTGACATTATTATCATTAATAGTAAGTGGAATTCCACACAAGACAGCTCCAACACTTATTGAGAACAAGAGGTTAGTGCCAAGGAAAACGTGCTTTCTATAGCTATCAGCCGATGCCAATCTAGAATACATAAAACTAAACCTTCAAAGAATACCGCTGAGAACACGAATACAGCTGAGATGTGATCGCAGACGCACCGGCTCCAGAATCACTAACAACTTTCGCCAAATACGTAGAAAATTCGCTTAATCGCATCATCAATTACGTTTAAATAATACTAAAAGCTCATTCGGATGATCCCAAAATGGAGGTTCATTAAATTAAGCACATTAATCAGATTTTAACTAGATAGGGAAATCAGAGAAAAATTTCACACCTATATTTATAATGAGACTGAGTGAGAAGTGTGAGAACCATCACATAAATCTTTTTCCAAACACAGAATGGACTTCCAAAATAAATTATCAATGCTCTAAAAATTAAAAAATAATTTTAAATACATACAAAATAAAGTTACGCCTACTACTTATAATAGGTGTAAATCTCTGTAATAGAAACACATCAATAGTTTGAATCCTAAAGATAAAAGGACAACAGAAGCCCACCAGAACTATGTAGCAAATGACAGAGTTCGAGCATGTAATTTCGGCGTTCGCATAATCATTACATATCTTGAGCGTGAGTTTTGCAATCGGCATTTGTTGTGTAGGAGACAAATTATACTTGACATTAGTCCTGTCCTTGTCTCTTTAATAAAGGCCCTTCTAATTGTTAACTCCTGCGGCCATCTTCGGAGCTTCACTGATTAATATTATTGCTAGCGAATACATAATAGAAATACCATAGATCTTCATGCATTTTCTAGATTCATGAATAATATTACATAGTCGCGAGTCACGATTGCTGATTTAGAACCTCCAATTTCAAAATATGATGATGAAGATGAAGCGAAATGATTAGTTATTTTTAAAATCCTTAAAATAGCTGCCAATTATAATGAAAATGTAAAATTGAGTGCGAAAGGAATAGATCAAAGCGTTGAACTTGTTAACATTTGGCACTTCATTAAAATAATAAGCTACAGATATTAATTTTCGTTAACTGTTTATTGGAGCCATAAAATCATGATCTCAATCTCCTGACAGATTAGTGATGATTTGCCGTCAATGATCAAGACAGTAAAATTTAAATTCATAACAAGAAGACCATAAATCACCGAATAATGCCAGAAAGTTAATTGGTAACAGGATCTGAATAATTAGAAAATAATTAATGAGTAGGTAAGTACAGTAGCAATGAGCGCAAACAAAAATGGCATCGGAGTATTGAATTTCGCAACCACACAAAGGAGTGTAGGAGACAAATTATACGTGAGATTAGCAATGAATTTAAAGAAGTTACGACATTCTCATTGTTTACTGATACACAAACCGTTGTGCCATTCAATTATCGTCATACCACTTTCGCGCAGATGACGGCCCGAGATATGAATGAAAATAATTTGAATTCAACTAACAAATTCTTTGGAACCGGTTTGTCGCCACTCTTTAAATGTCACGTTGTAATGATATAAATGAAGAATATGAAGATAGGCAAATTGGTATTGCAAGATTTTCACGACTTTGGAAACAGACTTCTCTGACAGATACATTGTCATTAAACAATACTCTGTTGTCCGTCTTTGACTTATCAACCACAGGGCCGAGCATCTGGGCATTTGAATAACAGTCAAGTTCCAATTGTTCTCAGTCCTCAGCAAATCACCGATACCCACGCTCGGCGTTGTTTTCTTAACACTGACATTAATATGTTCGATCAACATCTCATTTGTATTCACGTCGCTCCCCTGCGGTGGTTATGTAAACACGCCTTGTAACGAATCAGAGACATTTGTGATTCGCACAGCAACATCGATATAAAGTTGGATGCTATGATGATTGAATCTATTGCTATTTGTATTGACACGCATTCTAATCTAAGCTAAAATTTTTATAGCAGTCATAAACAAGATATATTACTCGTACCTACATCCCATCTAAGAATGAGAAGCCTTTGATAGATTTTGCGAAATATATTGATGAAATCTTTATACACGGTTCGTTATAAATCAAAGCGGTAAATCATAAAACGGTCCCACGGTGAAAATCGTTAGGACTCCCGCGATCTCGGGTGCCGCCCACCGTGCGCCCGCGGCGCTCGCGTTGCCTCATGTATGGGTCCGAATGTTGCAGCGCAAATACGGCGCCCGGCCCCGGTGCGATATCGTGATCCAAGAAAATCGAAAGTGTTTGGAATTACCACAAACTGAAACCTTGACGTCCAATTTGAATACCCTCTGGACACGCTAATAATATCAAACAACGTTATACAACACCCTTAGAGCCGCGAAACCATTATTCAAACTACATCGTCCGCTATCCTCACTTTACATAGTAAGTCATTGCCTTAAATGGAACCCCATTTATCTCTTATTTTGGCAAATATAAAGAGACCATTTACGACCGTATCTCCGAAGATTAAACAAATGTGCGTTACGTCTGGCTTTAAGATAAGATCAGAGATTAGGACTTAACAACGCTCATAAGCTTTACACGAGATCACAAAATTCATTGTACGACGCAGTAGCAGCACTATTTATTAGTAAACTATGGACCATTGGAAGCGTAACCGCGTGACCGCCTCCGACATAATGGCAGTCGAGTTCGTGAGATCCGTCGATAAGCAACGAGGGGTAATCAAGTGCCTCCAAATAAGTGAAGTGAGATATCAAAGTGCAGACGCTGCCTGCGGCTTGCGGCCTATTGACGTTTGACTTACCAGGAAGGGCGGCGGGTGCTGCTGGGAAGACATTTCGCCCCATGGTCTGAGCAAAGCGCGTTCGCCGTCAGCCCCGACAGCGGCGAAGCTCACGCCACACTTTCGCCACAGCGAAAGTTCGTAGAGCCGCCGCCAGGGTACTCCATTCACCACCTTCTTCCTAATACTCCCTCGCAGGGAAGGCGACCGCGCTAAGGGCTCTGTCGGAATCCCATTCTTGCTTGCACCTCTCCATGGCGGCTTTATTCCGTTTGTTCCTTTGCCATTTCCAATCGAATTAGCAGACCCTTTCCGCTGTAGAACAGGCTTGGTGTAAATCGGCGGCGATTTCTTTTTTTCGTCAACCAAATATTCATCATAATTAGAACCATTGAGTTCTTCAATAGTTACTGCAGCAGATTTTCTTTCTCTGTAACTACCCCTCAAAGGAGTACGACTGAATGCCTTTTTGCACCTTTCGCCGTCGATTTCGTCATGAAGCGAAGATATAACACTGTCATCGGCATATCTCATGCGGGCTGTTTTCATCAAAGAAGCTTTAGTATTCTGAGCGAATAGTCGCTCACATGGGTCAGCTATTGTATGGTTGTCCATTCTGGTTTTTGAAGTATTTTCTGAATCCGTGTCACTATGGCCTTCGTACGAGCTGGTGCTATTGCTGAAGCTCTTGGTGTACGAGCCGTCATTGTTTCTCATAAATTGGTGATGTTTGTCGGCCTCTCTAATTTCTATTATGCATTCGCCTCGGTAAGATTTACGTGACTGCAGGCTAGTGTTGGAATCGGATTTTGCGAGAGGATTGTGCTTGTGATCGAAGCACCCGTTGGCGTGTGCCTTGCCAGTGCAATGCCGGTGTATCTTAGCCAAGGCAGCCAGCGTCTTGTTGCCATTGGGCGATAGTTCGTCGCCGCACCGCAGCGACTGCTCGAACGAGCCTTGGACGTGAAACATTCTTCATGTATTCAATTCAAGTTCTCATGCAGACCGGTCACCACGACTGGCATTTTCAGGGGTCACAGTAAAGTTCCATGGTTCAAATCATGGCGAACGTCACTGTACAATAAGAATATTTACTAGTTATGAGTTTTACGGTGCAGATCGTAGCGATATGTTGTATCTTAAATGTGTATCAAGAGGTTGGGCATGACAAATCGTGATTACAGAAGCATATTTGGAGTGATTGATGTTTTGGAGCGAATGTAGGTCAGTTTGGCAAAGATAATGGGATAGACAGGTAGATTGTGAGTGGATTGGAGTAGGGTCTTGTGAACCATTGTCGCGTAGGGCTCGCGCGTGACCTCAGTATAAAAGCCATTGTGTGGAAGTAACTCATACTTGTCTGGCGGTAATATCCCTTATGCTTGGAGAATAAGGTTGGAAAGACAGTAAGAGCAAATTAGCGTGGTTTAGACACGCGTAGCATTTCTGCACGCACTACCAGTGGAGGCATGTTTTAGTATATTAACGCGATTAAGAACAAAAGACATCGGACGTATTGACAGAGCATGACTTCATTAAACTGGAAATAGTTCGGTGAGAGCATACATTCAGCTTGGTTAATTGATTACCTCTAATAAGAGAAACAAATGTACACGCATGCTTTTCTAAAGCATTTCAGAGACTAATAAGAAATAATTTACTACAACATAGTCCAGTCAATGAATGCTTTAACGACGGTGTAGAGAGAAATCCCTGGAACACAATTTCTGACCTCGGGACTTTATTTGGACTAGTTAGGAGGTGAACATAGCAAAAGTCCCCGCCCTTAGCCCTTGAGCCGGCGGGAAGAGGGGGGTTTAAAGGTACCACTTTTTGGTTTTTCGCTTAATCCTCGGAAACTATGTGTCCTAGTGACATGGCTACTATGAACCAAAAAAAGCTTATTCAATTTACTACAGGTGAGACTGTCAAGTTTTTCTATATCTTGTATAGTTTTCGCGGTATCTGCTCTAGAAGGTCTGTAATATTGGCAATTTTAATTTTGTCTTACATGTTCCCATCAGGAGAAAATCGACTAAATCAACATTGAGCAAACATTATAGACATGCGGGAGCATGTTAAGCCTAGTTCCAGGGAGACGACTGCATCGTGCGTATATTTAGACGAACCAATAGGAGCCACTTTTGACTCCTCATTACTAAAAAAGTACTGTGCATTAACATTTCAAATTTGGCTCATGTGTTGCGACTTTCAAGATAAACATCAGCTTCCAATTTCATAAATATACCTCAAACGGTTATTTAGGTATTGACGTTCAAAAATCGACATTTAGGACACTAAAATCTATCTATCACCTGTGAAATGTTAAAATTTACTAGTTTTTTATTTTTTCCTTTGTATTTACTCATCTACCTATCTGTATGCCAAATTTGAACCTTCAAGGTCATCTGGAAGTGGTTAGAATTTGGTCTATAGGTCAGACATGAAGATTTTTGGACGTCAATACCTAAAGAACCGTTTGAGGTATGTTTATGAAATTGGAAGCTGATGTTTATCTTGCAAGTCTGAACACATGAGCCAAATTTGAAGTGTTAACGCACAGTAGTTTTTGAGTGATGAGGAGTCAAAAGTGGCTCCAATTGATTCGTCTAAATATACGCACAGTGCAGTCCCCTCCCTGGAACTAGGCTTAACATGCTCCCGCATGTCCAAAATGTTTGCTTAATGTTGATTTAGTCGATTTTCTACTGATGGGAACATATAAGACAAAAATAAAATGTCCAATATTACAGAACTTCTAGAGCAGATGCCGCGAAAACTAAACAAGATATATAAAAACTTGACTATCTCACCTGTAGCAAATTGAATAAGCTTTTTTTGGTCTATAGTAGCCATGCCACTAGGACGCATAGTTTCCGAGGATTAAGCGAAAAACCGAAAAGTGGTACCTTTAAACCCCCCTCTCCCCGCCGGCTCAAGGGCTAAGGGCGGGGACTTTTGCTATGTTCACCTCCTGACAAGTCTAAATAAAGTCCCGAAGTCAAAAATTGTGTTCCACGGTTTTCCATCTATAATGCTTTATTGACTGGACTAACAAGTCTGATTTACGAACGTATTTAAGACATGTATCGTTCATCGATCGCCCACGTTTAGTTGTTATTAGTTTCTACAACTGTTACATTTTATTTGATGTAATAGAACAGATATGTTTCTAAAACAGTACGGCACAGTTAATATTGTTGAAACAGCTGATTTAACTAAACTGATGGAATTTAGGACGTATGTAATGTTGGTAATGTTTTATAGAACGAAATCATTTATTTTGGTGTAGCAATAAGTCCTACGTAAGATGTTGAAAGACAACAGGTCAAGTCTACGTCGCGTCGGATGATCAATCATTAACAAAAATCATTAATAGAATATTATAACTCAGTCAGTGCCTGAGGTATGGAAGCGGCACGGGAGGGTGTTTTTGAGACGTCAAACATCAGCGAGACTTCGGATATGCTTCAGATTTGTATGCTCTGTCACGTCATAATATGTCAATGTCACCCCTCCCGTGCCGCACCCATACCTCAAGCACTGACTGAATTAAGCCTATAATTTTGAAAGCAGAATTTTAAATGTCTATCACTAACAATATAAACTGCAATGAATAGCTGCTATTAATTTAAAACTGTTTAACAATAATAACAATTTGCACAGATTTATTAAGATGTCCACTACCTACTTAACTTTGTTTATTGTGCTTGTTAAAATTAGCTAATCGCTGTAATGTGCAATTTATTGTTGTTTTCTTAACATTATTTAATTTTTATTACTAATTAAACAAATAACAATATTTTTTATACAGTTTGCTCTATCCATTAAGCTTTTTTGTGTCTTAACGTCTGTTAATTTTTGTGTAATTGATATGTTGCAAAAAATGATTTATTTTATCTGAAGTATACAAATTAGTTGTCTATAAATCAGATAGGCATCTTTATATCGATAATTTGTCTCAATCAGGCGCTTGCAGAGCAAAGAGGCAATTAGGCATTTATATCAACCCATTGGGTGTTACATTGACAGTTTAGTTTGATATGGCCAAACGATACTGAAACATCAGGGGACAAAAATTGGAATTATAGGTGTACCAGAATCTCATGGCAAATAGGGAAAATAAACTTTGTTGAGAGCAATACTGGGGAAATTGGAATAAACGATCTTGATACTGTTTAATTTTTTACTTTTATGACTTAAATATTAATGAACATGAAGTACCAATATACATTTTAGGTAGGTATGTGTATGAAGAATGTTGTCATACATCGGGAAAATGTCTTGAAAAATAAATAAATCGTATTATTACTTTAAGTAACTAATTTTATTATGCATCATACTTTTAACTTATCACTTCATTCAGAACTAGAAAACGATTCTAAGAACTCCACTTGCAATTTCTTGTTCTTCAATAGATGATCAAAATAAAGAGATAAAATCTTTTTCAATTTTCTTTACATGGTCATAAAAAAACATAACCCTCCTTGTGACGTAATTGGGTAATAAACTAAATGTATCAAAACATTTCAGTCCAACTTACTGTCAACTCGACGACGCGCTTTAGAATCAAAGATTGATTTTGAATTATGCCTTATTTTACAATTCACATTGAAAACAATATGACTTGCTTGAGCTTTTTCGACTTTTTCACAAAAATAACAAATAGTCAAGAAGAGATTACAAAATTTTTGCAGCGGCTGACAGATTTCATAATTTTCTTTGACAGGTGACAATTAAACCATAGACAATTGCCATATAAAAACACACTTTTCCAATATTTTTGTTTGCCATGAGATTCTGGTACACCTATAATAACCCAGTATTGATAGTGGAAGGCAGACGTGCTCGGTGCAGGGCACCGACGAGATGGTCGGACGCGGTGAGGAAGACGGTGGGCGGGAGTTTGCATCGTGCGGTCCACACAGCTTATGACCGCAGTTTGTGGAGGTGGAAGAAGAAGAATTGATAGTGGTGCCCTCCTGTAAATGTCATATTTATATGGGTTGGGACCCTTCAGTGTTGTCCGACATGACAAAAATCGGAACTAATAACCCAGTATTGATAGTAGCGTCCCAACTTGACCTTCACTGGTTGGGTTTTTATTAGCGGTCAAGCTGTAGATCCTGACTACACAGGAGTTGCAGCGGTGGGAACGAGAGGTGGGAATAGTAGCGTCCCTCACAATGACAACTACTTACAGTCGTATTTGTATCGTTCAAGTTCCTACTCCAAAATAAAACAAATGCCAGCCAATGGTAGTCTTCTATGAAAGTAAAAGCTGTCGTAGCATTGTATGTACTCGTGTTTCGCATTCGGTTATGGCCGATAAATATTCATGAGGACTGGGTGTCGCCGGATTGTGACGGTGTTGTCACATAGATCGAATGGGCTTAATATATGAATGTTTTCTGTCTTGTGGTGAGTTTTTTTGTTATAATCGAAAGTACCTAAGTTATTGTCGCATTCTATGATTTGGCGCTCTGTTTGTGGCATATTGAATCTTTCTTTGTACCATTTTGTACCTACAAAAGGACAAGTTGCCATTTATAACCTTTTAAAGAGTGAGGGATAACGATAAGAGAAGATAGAGAATAACGGCTTCGTGATAATGCGGTTCCCTGGATTTGCAGGTCTAAAGTTCATCTTTAAGATTGTTTGGTAAATCAACCGAGTGATAATTTAATTTCAGTAATTAAATAAATCACTGTGTTATTGTTCCTTTCGTTAAGATTTCAGGCATTTAGGATATTGTAAGTTACATTTTGTGCAAACTTGAATCATCCTGAAGCCTGTATATCAGTAGCTTGAATCTCAATCCATGGATTAAGTATTATACTAATTTTTATCTGCATATTTAACATTAACTTTATCATCGCATACCTGTATGTCGGAAGCTTTGGACTACGTGGGCGGTCTTCTTAGAGGTCGTTTTAACCAAAGCAACAGTTTATGCAACATTCACCGGTTTACCGCAAAATTGATGCAGTAGGTCCAATAACTGTAACAGTTCACCATGCCCACCATTAAATAAATGAGCTGTCCCATAAATTAATGTTATGCGCATGTTAACA